TTCGGAGTACAACACCACTACATATCTATTAAATAAGCTTTAGAAAGTGAATAGCGATGAATGACTTTAAGCTATTAACCAGGAGTTCGGGTATAATGCAAAGAATAAAACTTGGATACCGGCCATTCTTCTTAGGAAAAAAAAAAGAGGGTCAGGTAAGTGGTTATTGAAAATAAAAAGCAGCTCTGATGGGAGCATTGACAACTTTAAAGCCAGATCTGCGCCAAAGATTTTATGCAAGTGTATGGAGAAGATTATTTGCTAAACTTAAAACTATTCGAATCTTTCTTTCTTAACCGCTCCTTTGAGAATGTGAGATTACGGTTTATGTGGGCGAGATGCATTTACTATTTCTTTACTTAAAGAAGAATTTACCTCGCCATACCTCAAGGTGCTATCCATTAAAGAAGGATTTAGCTGTGTTAAACTACTTAAATCGATTCTAGATTTTAAGCAACAAGTATGAGGTGGAATTAACTATGCATGGAAAATTGATTAGGTTTGGTTTTCAACAATGTTACAATGCCATGTGAAGGTTATAGTAATAGCGGTTATGCCAGTTGCAAGGATACAAGGCGTAGCACTACAATATATAATTTTTTGCTCAATAGAGTGCCCACTATATGGTAATTAGCCTTGCAGAAACCAGGGCCTTGTCTATTAGGGTATTTAAATTTTTACTTGCTGATATCTAAACCTTAAAGTTCTTTAAAGAATAAATTTGTACACGATGAACAAAAGGAAGGGCACAAATAAAAAGCGCAGGCAAAAATGACCGCGACTAACTTTGTGGTAAAAAGGAAAATTACCCTTATATACAAAAATAAGTGGATAAAGAATTTAAAAAAAAAAATTATTTTCTAATTATGACAATTTGCGTTAATTTTCTTAACACTTCCCCCGATCCCTTCATTATTGTCAACGCTTATCACAGAGTTCGTTTTAGTATTTTAAATTTTTTTCTCCGCAAGGCCCTTTGTAAATAAACCGTCTAGCATCTCGTTGCTGCAAAAGTATTTTAAGAATATGTGCCCTTCAGCTAAAACCTCTACGTAGTAGTACTTGAAGATGGCATGTCTAGAGAGTTTTCCACCTCACCTCCGATGCAATAGTAATTACTGGTTTATTATCAATATTTGTAGTTAAACATTATTGCGAAAAAAAAAAGCCAGTTTTTTGGTTAGGCCTAAAAGCCCTTTGATATATAGTATGCAGGTTGCCAATGCAATGTACTCGGTTTCTGCTGAGGGTGGAGGGCTATAACGCTATGTCTCTTTAATTCCCATTATGGGCAAGCGTCCTGCTCCTCATAATCATATTTGGAGGCAAAACCCCCGTAAGAGTTTATTCCTATTTTCATTGTGATTGTCTCTCCACTTGAAGTTTAAAGGTTTCCGTTCCTTTTACCTATCTAAATATTTTTTACCGGTTGTTTATTCTAAACCATAAAATTTTAAATGCTAAGACAATTTGTTTACCGCCAAGATAATGACAGATAGCATATTGTTGGATAAGTGTTGCGAAGCGCCAATAATCTCCTTAAACGGGTATTCATAAGTTACCTTATTAGTTTTAATCAAGTCATTGTTGCACACATTGGCTATTCGGAGTTGCTTGTTCTAAATCATATTCTTAGGGAAACTTATAATAAATTCTTCTCGGCCAAAAGTTATATAATTTTTCCTCATATACTTCAAAGCCTATAGAGTAATGGTAGGACACTTTATTGTAACCAAAGCCTATTAAAGCGCTCATTGTTCTTACTTTATTTACATGGTTAGTATTTTTAAATCTATGTATAATGCAATTTTGCACTTGTTATTTTTAGATTTCAACACACAGGTTTCTACGAGATTTTTTAAAGCCTAATTCTTAATTTTTTGGTAATTAATTTTTTACCACAAAAATTTCGCTTGCTTCGCATCGTAACATGTCTTGTGTTACAATGAACGTTTTCCATGAAAATTACCTTTATAAATTAAGTGATCTTTCGGGTGTTAGTTTCGTAACTATAATCAATGGATTGTTCTTGTCTCCGGGTATATTAAATTGCGAATCTAATAGATTCTAATTTTATTTTCATTTATTCCTCTACCTTTATTTTCTGGAACGCTTTTCTATCACTATTAAGCTCTTACGGCTAGATAATAATTTGAATTTATGTTTCTTCTCAGTGGAAAGCCATCAAAATGAGCTGTTTTCGCGTATAGCTAAAAGGGGTCTAGAGACTTGAGCACGAAACAGGAAACGAGGCCGTGAATTTCGTTTCACTTGTTATTAATAGGCTTCAAACGCATGGTTTCTGAGATTTAATAGAGCGCTACAACACTAGAGAATAATAAATTAAAGTTTTTGAATTTAATACGGTTAGCACCTAAGGAATTAGTTCTTAGGCTGACAACGCGATTACACATTCACATATGACCCCCTAAAAGTACATGGATCTTCGGGGAGAATTTTTTGAATCTCTTGACGGCCTTAAAAACTCAGGTTGTTTCTTATTTGCTGGAAACGTAATGAAGCATACTCTCTCAAACCACTTCATATTTTAATTTCTTTTATTGGGCTAAGCTACAAAATAAACTTCCTCAAATACTTTAATTTTATCTAATTGCTCTTAAACTAATAAAAATTACATTTTATTCCCACCGCCCCTTACAACATATGACCACGATAAGCTTTCCATTAAAAAATAATCCTAGTTAGATGGCATCGGTTTTGACCTCCTTTTTTCTAGTGGAACTTGAGACGTAATATATATATTTATTTTCCTGTAGAATAAGCGTCCACTTTTTTAACATGGTAGAGAATGTAAGACACCTGAGAATCCCACTCATAACTTTCAAGAATTTTTATTTAATAAGACGGTTTAGGTCGCATAAAGGGTTCTGCTAACCAATCATTTCGGGCTGGAGATGGGAAGAGATATAGTAGACTCTTTATAACTGCGCTTAAGATCTTTATATTTTTGTAGCAAAAGTCTAATGGATAAGGGTGACATTGGTCTTTTAGAAAATGCACCTCAAAGTCCTACAAGTTTTCTGGATTTTAGAATAACAGATTTAAATACTACCGATAACAATGTATTGATCCCCCAAGAAGAAGTTAAGAATGAGGAAAAATATGTTACTATTGAAAAAGACCACTGTAAAACTTCTTCAGAAATCTTTCAGGACATTAAACTTAATACCAAAGATAACTTTGTAAACGATGCTTCTGCTAATGAGAGTAATAATACCCAGATTCAAGAATACAAGATTGAAGACACTAGTAGTAATAATAGTAAAGAGATCTTTACAGGTAGTACCCCTAGTATTAATCTTCCAAACGATTATATGAGTAGCAATACTAAAAACATTGAAACCCGAAAATTTAATTATGTTACTAAGCCTTCAAAGAGCACTCCTGAACAAACAGAAGTTTATAACAATGGTTATGGGATATTAAGAAAAACTTTGCAGCAGTCCACCGTTTCTCTAGGCACTTACTGGAATCAGCTGAAACAATTTACCATGTCGGAAGTTGGAGAAATTAACGAGGCCGTTGGGAAAGCCAATGAAGTCTTTACCGATTCCTTTTCCTCTTTGAAAAGTAAGTTACAGCCCATACCCTCAGCTAGTTCGCCAGAATCCTCAAAAGTATACACTGAGCGTACCTTAACGGGTTATAAACAAAAACTTAGTACCCGAAGAGACAAACTCTTACAAGAACAACAAACTATAAAGATATTATCAAGGGCCCAGTTGATGAAAAGGTTGTTTAAGAGAGACAGTGAAATTATTGCTATGTCAGAGCAACTTCTGGCATTACAAGAAAAGTCTATAAAGAAGAATGGGACAAGGAAGGAACATAATAATGAAAGACAGGTTTTGTAGCTCTTGTATTTTATGTTACTTCTCAATATTCTTTTTTTATAACACAAAAGGAAGACCCTTTATTTGAAAAGGAACAATATCCAGCGCTTGCTTGTCATAGTCAGAGTACTAAACTGGACGTTCAGCCAAAAGAGTTTGAAAGCACAGCGGAAACTGATACTCAGTTTAAAGACTCCCAAAAGCTTTGTACACTTAATAGTAAAGCCGCCACTTCAGAAACTCTATATCAACGAGCTTTAGAGGAGCATTCCCCCTTGAAGGAACTACGTAATAGTGAAAAAAAAAAAGAAATCGAGAAGCGTTTAATTGAAGAAAGAGAGAAGATGAAGGATCATAAAGAACAGTTGCAAGGTACCTTTCAGCAAGTAGACAGCTGGCCAGAGCGCTACGAAAAAAGTTCTCTTCGAGTTAAAAATCTTGAAGAACACCTTAGAGAGGCTCATCAAAAAATTTACGGACAAAACCTTGAACTTCAGGGTAAAGAAAAAGAATTAGAGGATTTGCACGCTATCTTAACGAGCTTAAAAGAAGATTTAGAAGATGCTAAAAATTCCCTAAACTGCAGCAAGAAAGAGAACATAGCGTTGGAGGCTCAAAGTAAAAAGGCCGAAGAATATATCGAAAAACTTAGAATTGAGTTAAAATCTACAAAGGAAGAATACGAATATATAAAAAAGGAATTGGAAGCTACTCTACAACGACTGGCTGGCACTGAAAGTGATTATGAAACTTCTAAAAAACTATTAAAGAGAAAAATAAACAACTTAAAAAAAGCGCTGTCTAAACAACTTAAGCTAAACGATGATAAACTCAAAGAAAACAAGTTGGTTCCCTGTAGGGACAACGTTCCTTCTGTTAATAATATTAATAACACTGAAAGTAAAAGAGAAAATGATATAAAGTTTTGTTATATTAAAAATGTTCTTCTTAAGTTCGTTACAAGTACTTGTAACGAACAGAGAGCTCTAATATCGATTATAAGCCAACTATTAAAATTAAATGAATCAGAAAAAGAAATGCTTGTAAAATCTTTAGAAAAACAATCGAATACTTTTTGGTAAATAACTAATTGTTTTATTGATATTACACTAAAGTAAAAATAACTAAAGCAAGGCAGTTTCTTTTAATTAACTTTGCATTCCTATATGCAACTTTCGTCAAATTCATTAATATTGAGGAGATCTGGATAAGTTAAGCTTCTATATTTGCTTGCGTATCTCCGCCTCACATAGCCGACGATGAATACCAAACCAAACACTGCAGCCGCCAAGCCGAGGCAGCCGAGCATTACTACTTCCAAGAGGTTAATTTTCGGGGTCGGGATAGTAGTTGAATTACTAACTGCTGGTCTTTTAGTTATATGAGGGTAACAGACTTCAGGGGGCCTGCAGGCAGGAGATGAACAAAATTCTGTCCCGTGAAGAATCAGTTGCCAGGATTTTAAGGACACCAAATCCTCCTCAACTTTTTCTACCTGCAAAGTCCACTTACCGGTAGGCCTCTTAAATAGAAATTGACTAAAAAGAAAATTTAGATTTATAATATGATAACTTCGCCCCAATAGTGTACGCTAGAAAACGTCCAATTATTAAGACAATTTGAAGAATAATAGTCCTTTGGCCGGCGCTTGAGTAGAATAGACACAGTTTTCATAGGAGAAATAAGCTTTATCTTTAAAAAAGTTAGTAAAACTAATCTTTTACAAAACATCAAGGAGAGACTTTTATGCTACTTCTCCTTCTGCATGTAACAGTAGTATTAACTTGGACATACTCAAGAAAGTTGACTTCTAAAGGGACCAAATAATTCCCCATTAAAATGGTTACGAATTTATGTATACCGACTCCAGGCAAGTTAGGAATGAAAATAGAGGAATTTAACGAAGAACCTTCTACAAGCTACGCACCAATAAGGGAGAAAGGGCAAGGTAAATCTAGTAATATGAGAGCATTGCTACTTGCGGAGGATTGACTATCGGAGATACGTAAGTTTTCATAGGAGGAACGGTTTCCCAAAGTTTTGCAGCAGAGACCATGAGCCCAGCATTCAATATGCCAAACCCTGTTTCATGGCTGACATTTCGCCTTTAAATAGGCACCAGTTAACAGTTTCACTAACACGCTTAACAATTTGGTCGCTACCCGATACCATTTAACGAATAAAAAACACCCCTCCCGACTTTTGGTTCCGCGGTGGCTACTGTAAGATGAAGGATATCTCTCCACGTGAGATTCATACTAAACAGGCAACTATATAGTATACGCATTTACCTATAAAAAAAAGCAGTACTTTGCTTGTAGAACAAGAGCGTAAATGGCGGAGGCAATCGGAGCTGCTGCAGAGGTTCCTCCGTGAGTAAAAGTACATGAATTGTGCAAATCACTCGTTGTCTAGACATAATCATGCTTCAGATTTATAAAGAAAATTGATAATCCACTCACGATGTATGAATCTCCACTTGTACCCGAACTATACGTGGCTGCAATTATTGCAGAGCACGTCTCAGCATACTGAGGCGAGCTGTTATCTCGACTCACTGCGCCGATCGCCAAAGTATAGATACTGTTCACGTAACCATCGCAATTACAGTCATCTTGTTTTCCTCCGTTCCCAGAAGCAAAAACAAATATATTTCTTTATAAAAATTAAAATTAACTTACTCTAAATTTGTAGTTATAAGTAAATTAAATAGCGGACCCTAAACCATTTCGACCAGTAAGAACAGCGTTTTCCAAGGCCTGGAAAGTTAAAGACCCCATGCCATCTACAGTTGCGCCATCGTCGCTGGGCCCCCAACTCGAAGTATATATGTGAGTGTGCTATACAATAGTTTTCACTACAGTAATTGGAGCTTGTAAGCCTTCAAAAATCTATAACTACGTTATTTTGATATGATAAAGCCTGCGCTTCCATGTAGTCGGAAATAGCAGCGTCCAACAAACGTATGGCTTTTAATAAAATAAAGCTGAGAAAATTGAATTATTTTATTATATTTCAACTATTGTTTATTTACCACCGCACTTGGCATTATACGCTAAGCCCACCCCGCAAAACGAATTAGGAGCAGCCGCGATTTCTCCAGCACATCTTGTGCCATGCTTGTTAATATTATCAGAAGAGTATCTTGGAAACGGATCATAATCTTGATCGTCAACATCAAAGCTAGCAAGAGGATCCTAACAAAATAACTTTAATAAACTACTGCAGTTCAATTTTTTTAACAATGACCAAATTAATTATTACATAACATCTAATTAAGTCAATATTGGTATATTCCAAGCCGTCGTCAATCACAGTCACAACAACACCATCACCAAAGAAACCTTGTCGCCAGGCCTCTTGAACGTTCGTATCGTTATGGTGGTTGTGCTAAAAAATTCTTATTATGCTTTCATTAAAAAAGTACAGTGAAAAAAGACCAAGTGCCACTGACGAGGATAGTAAGGATCGGAAATTGTAAAAGTAGAGTCTATATATCGTTTTTTTCTGCTTAATATTTTTTCCTGTTGGATTTCTATAGTTCGATTGTCTTCTTTAAGGCGTTTGTAAATGGCATATTCGAAAAATCCAGTGCTGTTAAAGCTGTGATAACAAGGACTACCTTGAAAACTTACACAATAAGGGCGAGGTCGATATGAAAAAGTGTTGGTCAGATGTAGAACCTTCATAATATACGAAATTTCCAATAAATAAGTAAAATTAGTAAAATAATAAATTTAACTTGAATTCAAAGGATAAAAAAAAGCTACGTAGTAATAAAGTATATCATATTGCCATGGTTTAAAAGCAGAATCAGAGGGGAAAAACTTGCGACAAACCTGACCAAATAAATGCAAGTCATGTTCTTCAGCAAAATCTATTGCCTGTTGAAGAAAAGTTTGTTCTTTAAGAGGTTTTTTAAATGTTACAATCCAATCGTGGCGATGGCTATGTAATTTATTTATTTCAACTGCCTTTTTTTTTGACTTATGCATTTCCGATCATGGAAAAGCGCTATGTAAAAAAAGTATCAGACAACGGGATTTCGACAAGGGCCTATCGCCAGCAGTTGGATAGCTAGATTTGGGTGGGTTGGTCATTTAGCCTTAATATTATTAGTAATTAACTGCCCTCTTCCTTACAGATGAGCAACTTTAAAGAACTGGAAAGTCCAATAGTAAAATCGTCCGCGGTATCTATATATATACTTTTATTTATTAAAAATTTTCTTAACAGTTTAAAGTTACCTTTATCATTTGTAATACGATTTACCTTTGCCAGAAATATTAATATATAGTATATATAGTATGAACTAATGTAAGATTTAACTTTTTCCTTTATATGAGTATCTGGCGTTTCGAAAGGCCCAACTGCGACAACGCTGGCGAGAAAAAAACAATTAAATTATCTAAAATAAACTATGAAAAGAAAGATTCATAATAAATCAAAAAAAAATTAAAAATGAAGAAAGTAAGACAAAATATGAAAAATTTCTTCCTGACGGTTTTTATTTTTATACTTACGTGCCACCTTTGTCCTCTATGAAGTTATAGCGCTTAGTCTGTATTCCTTATCATCAAAGTATTGAAACCCAAGTGCGTTACTTTTTTAGGGGAACGCAATACTTACCAGGTCCTAGAGTGGTGGAGAACCTTAAAAATTTATTTTTCAGGGATCTTGTCTCAAAAGAAAGTAAAACTACAGATCAGAGTGTAAAGCTTCGCTGACTTTTTGATGCAGTTAAAAAAAATTATTAAAAAACCTACGTTATTATTAATATTACAATTAAAGTTAGTAAGATCTCTTAATTACTATTTTTTACTGTTTACTATTATTTAATATTACTATCTTGTAGTTAAAATTATTTTCTATAACCTTGGTAGTTTCATTACTTTATAGTATTTCTGTTTTAATTATTAGTATTATAGTAAAAATATTTCAAAACAAAATGAAAAGTATTATTATAAAGGGGCTATTAAATGCTCTATAATATTCCTTGGTTAAGCGCTAATATATTTATAATACGGTTATGTTTGCATTCACGAAAAACCTAATTTATACCAAGCACCCATAAACCTTCTTGCGTTTTTTTGTATTAGTTTCAGGCTATCTACGTTAAAAGTGGAGAAGAAGAACTAACTACTGCTACGTAACTCAAAACTGGTCTAAAAATAGCTTTAAAAATAGTTTTGTTATCATAGTTTAGAGCGTATATAATTGTAAATCAAAAACATGCCTCATATTATTAAGTTTTGTTAATTAAGCATTTAATGTTAGCATTTTGAATAAGTTTTTTTTTAGGTGATATCGATGTGTTTCAACTTAATTTAATAGATGGGAGATTTAAAATAGAGAAAAAATTTTTAATTTCCTTTTTAATCTTCTCCTGAGGTGACCATGGCGAGGCACCATAAATGATTAACGAATTACTTCACATTTACTAAAATCTAATAAGTTAAGGTAGGAAATGCATTTAGTAGAAAAGGGTGGTGGCTTCATTTTTCTGTAATAGCAGCCCAACGCTAAAAAGTTTAAGTATTAAGGAAAGGTCGTCAGACGTGCATGAAGAAAATAACATAGGTGATCACAAGGGCCCCTGGGGATAGGGTGTATCTAAAATTTAAATACCCTGTTTTACCCGACAGTTTAGAATAAATATGAAAAAAGTGAAACACTTAAACAATTTGTATGCAACTTTTATGCCATACTAATTTAAAAATTTCAACAAATTAATTTCTCATCAACCAATTATATTTTAAGGTTTAAAATTTACTCATATGGCATACTATTCAAAACAAACATAAAGATAACTTAGTGACTGGTTAAAATTTGGATTTTTGCATTGTTATTTTTTGTAATAAAAGGGTAACAGAATTTTCCTCATTTGTTGTCTTCCCTTTATTCTTTTCTGCTTTTTTTCGCTTATTTCACCAGTCAAAAGATTTTTAAACGCGAAAAATACTATGGGGGTTATTCAGTCGTGGTTATACAATGCAATATATGTAGAAATGTGAAGATGTGTACGGCCTGTTTTTGTCCAGCGGTGCTTTTAAGTTTAAAATCGTTAATAATTTGTGTTTTTAGTTCTTTGACTTACTTATATATGAATACATACATATATTTCTGAAATATATTATTATCGAAGCTTATTAGCCTGGGATACTAATATTTTGAATTTTATCTACCCGAGAGACATTTCAACAGGAAGGTCAGTTGCTTGAAGTTAATAGTTAATAATATATATAAAGAGAAATTATTAACTCGAAAGTGATCTATAGAAAGATATAATCATTTGTACTAATATTATTGTAAGTATAATAGTGGTAGTTATTACAAAGTTAGAGTTTAGTATGAAAGATTAAATTAGAAAGGTTTTGTGGTAAAAGTTATTTCTGTGCCCCGGTTAATAGTGATTATGTATTGTAATTAATAGAGGCTATGATGGTGCTTTGGTACGTGGTAAGTTAAATCAGTAAACATGCCTTTATGGTGCGGTTTCACTGTCTCTGAGAGTTACTTAATTAATAGTAATGCGCGAAAGTATATATTACATACTGTACTAAAAAAAAGATATAGCGTTTTTGTGAGTTTCCAGTACAATACCATTAGAAGGGCCGAAGCAGTGATCTTAACCCTGGAGTATTAACGTAAATAGACTATTCATTATTACATGGGGTTACCAGAGTAACCCCTTGTAATAGTGTACATATTTCATAGAATTAATGTATTTTTTTTTCTAATAAATTTATTGGATAGAATTAATGTATTTTTTTTTCTAATAAATTTATTGAAATTACAAACAGTATAAATATTTTTCTGGCAAACTTAGTATCGGAGCTCATTGCACACAGGTACTAAACGCTTACCACAAGCAAGGTGCTTAAGGCACGATACATTTGTATATCTTAAATAAAAAAATGACCCCATTTCAGCAGTGCTAGATGGCCGGCAAAGTATAAAAATCCACTAAGAGATTTTTTTTTCTAAGTTCTCTGTAGGTTCAAAATGCCTACAGTTTTTATAATTATTTCGATAGCGGTTAATATAGAGTTACCAAATAGCACTTTTTTCTAACCGTCCAATTCCGTCATAACATCTCGTGCGACTTCACTTGTTCCAGGAAAACGAAGTATAATGTATCCTTTGGACTACAAAGGAAGAGGAAAATTGTTTTGACACCAAGTGTTCATTTCCTTTATTTAGTAAACTACAAAATAAATTGATGACGTATTAGCAATAGTTTCTTCACCAGAAATTAATGTTTTGTTATCAAGTTCCGAATGCTCGGGGGCGATGTCTTTGTTATCAGATTTAGAAATTTTTATTTATAGTCAAAATTCACGAAACATTCGTAATCAATATGACTATCGTCAGAAATGTAATCATTTTTTCTTCTTTAAACCAATCTTGCAAAACCTAATTCATATAGCATGGCGTTGAGAATAAAAAACAAGCATAAAATACAAACCTCTTCGACAGTCAGGGTCTGTTGGTCTCATTGATATTCTTTCGGGTTTGAAAAGTCGCAGGTTATCAACAGGGGATTTTTTATCTATATTAACACCAAGAACATAAACAGTATAAAGTAAAGCTAATTGACTTATAGCAAATTTACTCCAAGCCGATACAAACATGAGGTTACCCGTCACCAAAAAGCAACTAATGCTAATTTTACAATGAACCATAAAAAAAACTGTCAGACTGTTATTGTAGCACATAATCTTAAATAGAGCACACGAAAGCACATAGATAGCAGCCTACGCGGAATAAAATAGGGGCGATTTTGAAAAGTGCTTAAATTACGCGTAACCCGGTTAATACTCTAGAACTGGTTGTAACTGGTCATGTAGGTTTTTTTCGCTAGTTGTAGCAAAATTTTGTATTTCCATTATATTTCTTCAAGAGGTTTTAAGATTATTACTTTTTTTTGTAATTGAGATATTAATTAAGAATTTAAGGTGACATACCAATTGATGAAGTTCAATCAATCCTCTAGCGTTTATAAGTCTATTGCCCATTTTATTGTTTTTAAAAACCCGGTAGGTAACCTTAAAATAAAGACAAGCGCCACTAACCCCAAGTTAAGAACACTACACAAGGATCTGAAGAAAGCTCGTCTACAACGGTAATATTAGAGATTACACTTAAGCGCATGAAATAGCAATCTACACGAAATAAAATTGTGGCAATTTCTATAAATTGCTTGGGGTTACGCGTAATCTTTAATGTTGAATAGAAGGTATATGTTTACGATTTCCTATTAAGCTTTTAGGCCCCTTTAATAATACAAACGCCTTCTAGAGTCTAAACTACATAGAACTACTTTTCTTAAAGCTCTACAAACTGAAAAGATGACACAAACGAAAGATCGAATCTTGTTCTTTGAATTAAAATGAATATATATACACAATTTGAAATAACCCTAATAGTTTAAATCCACTAGTTAAAATTAATATAAATCCAGAAGAGCATACCCTCAGTTGTGTGGAGTCTACCCCTTTTTTAACTGCGCACTGTATTTGGACCATATAATTAACACTCCCTCCGCCTCTTTACAGTACGCACAAACCCTATTGACTTTTCATTATTTTATTTTTAAATTCTGAATATTTTTTGCCGCTCCAAATTTTAGTAAGCCAGCATCTCTTCGCTTCTGCGGTATCTCAAAGAAATTACATCATCTGCCAACTGATCCTTGACAAAATGAAATTTCACGTTTATATGCTGTGAAAGCTTACTGCCACTCATTCCATTTGCAATGTTTACAGCTGACTGGTTATTTACTTTATCTGTTTGCCAACCCTACTGACACCCCAGTTCGGTTAAAAAGGTTGGTATCCATTGAACATAACGGTCAAGGAAGAAAGAGCGATATATTCCGCTTCCACGGGAGACAGGGCAGTAAGTGATTGCTGTTTTGATTCCAAACAACCGGACACTTGTTTAAGCATTACGATAATTCCTCTCCTGCTCCTTTTATCACTCTCGGACGCAAAACTGGATTCTGAGAAAATATTAAAGGTCGGCTCCTCCCCTTTAAAGCGGTTAATTTAAAGTCC